ACCGCTCACGAGTTTTCTCGTGTTTCGCTCCCCATCTGTTAAGGACCGCTCACGAGTTTTCTCGTGTTTCGCGCCCCATCTCTTAAGGCCCTTAGATGTCTACACACTGTCTTGTCCACTGTGGGGCACAGTTATGGTGTTTTGGCCAGGTTCAAGCCTCGGACTAATGAAAGGACAGGGTCCTCTCGCTGCCACGCGCAAGTCCCAGCTGGAGGGCAGGGCCCTCCCAGACAATCATAGCCAACGGCTGTGGTTGTAAGCTTGAACCTATGGTCCGAACACGGAGTGCCTTGTGATAGAGTTTAGGTTCATGTAATTGAGTGAGGTTGAAACTCACGAGAATGCTGTAAACAACGTGATCACGCCCCTACTTTGCCTCGTGGCATCTGCTATAAAATAAAGACACGGCTTGTGGGCGCTGGCATTGTCTCTTCTTCAGGGAGCAGCGTCCCACCGAGACCCAGCTATTATTCTCTTGTCTGTCTTTCCTTAATCCTTTCACACACACACACACACACACACACACACACACACACACACACGACACGAGGAAACCTAGCCCAGAGACTCGGACTTCCCAAACCAACAGCAGCTGGACTCAAAACATATTTTTAAATTCAAAACCCTTTTATGAAATACTTCCCTCCCTTTCCCTTCCTTTCCTGTGCTGAATTGTTTTCCTCCGGAGGGTGGAGGGGGAAGGAAGGGGGCGCACTAGGGCCCACGCAGCAGCAAAGGGCTATCTGACTTGGATGAGGGTGCAGGGGAGCGCACAGGGACAGCTTCCCCAGTGAAGAACCCTTAGGCTGAACTTGGGAGGCGACCTGGGTGGCCCGATGGGGGAGGCAGTGTGAGCCAGGGACTCAAATATTGAGAGTGCCCCGAGTTTCAGTAATCAAGTCGTTCACCGATGGAGGCCCTGGGGTGGTTGTTGGAGAAAATGGAGAGAAAGCAGAAATCTCATTTGGAAATCTCATTTTTCCCCCCTGTTGTGAAAGCTGTGATTGGGAGGTAAGAGGATTTGAAGCATAGTGTTTTTTTCTTTGGAAATGTAGCTGTAGTGGAAGTGAGGAGGATAAACTGCAGAGAGGTAGGCTGGCTGCTGGGAGAACAGAAGATTCTGCAGTGACCTAGAAATCAGGTAAGCCAGTGGTGGGTGGAAAGGAATAGAGGGAAAAATAACAAGAGATACGTAGGGAGCAGAAGCAGCAGGCTTTATTGACTGGTGTGGTAACATATGGGATGACTTCTGATTTTCTTGTTTGGGAAAATGGGAGGATGGTGGCCTGTCCTCCAAGTTAAAGAAGAGAGGGGAGAAGGGTTTGAACTCATAAAATCTGGGTTTTGCGCCTGTTCGGGTTGGAATGATAATGAGATAGCCATGGGGTGTTTTATTTCTCAGCAGGAACTCGGATCAGGGTTCTTGATAGAAATGAGGATTTGAAAGCATCAAGTATTGAGAATTGTTGATGCCTCGGGTTTAGCAAAGGTTGCTGGGAGGCAGTGGATGGAACGGGAGAAGCAGGATGGCAGGGAGGAAGCTGGGGACCACTTACCCTCACAAGGTGGGCAGAGGCCCAAGTACCTGAAGAGGAGGCTGAGAAGGAGCAATCAGAACCCCCAGGTGTGGGAAGGCAGCCAGGAAAGGAAGTGTCACAGAAGGCGTCCAACAGATGGGGGGCAGGGGTGGTGTGTTCATACTTCTCCTTAAGCCCTCTTGGTACCTCTTACTAACAAGCAAACTTGCAAAGTCCCAGCCCCCAAGGACCCTGCAACTCACCATCCGCATCCCATGAAGCCAGCCTTTGAGAAAGGTTTCCAGTGCTGAAAAAAAAAGTATTATTATCATTAACATTATAGTCGTTAATATAATTATGTTAGACTACATTCTTAACTATTTGGGAAAAATATAGGTCACAACTTTATATGATATAGAAAATAAATTATAAATGTGTTAAAAAGTTAAATTTAATAACTGATCCATAAAAGGTTTTGAAGAAAATGTAAATGAATATACTCCTCTTACTGCATCAAGATTATTTCTAACAACCAGCTAAGACAGAAACTGAAAAAGAAAAGGTAAATAGATTTGATTATTTCAATATGTAGAACCTGTTTGTCACAAGTTCCATCCAAAATTAAAAAACAGATGACACTCTGATGGGTAGACTGAAGGAGGAAAGAGAGTAAATCACATTTTAATTTGTGTATTTTACTATTTTTTACTTTTTAAGAATATTTGTTATCTTTATAATTTAAAAAAGTTGCTTAAGATACAAAGATACTAGAAAAATAACCATTTTAGAGACATAAACTTTGAATAACTTTATAAAAAGAGTTTTTACAAAGTATTAAAAAACAGATACACACCCTAAAAAAAAGAAGCAATGAATAGGTAGTCAGCTCACAGAGGAAGAGCACAAACTTGTAAATAAATTAAGATTTTTTTATCAATCAAATTGGCTAAGAGATTTTAAATGGTATTGCTAGTTACTAAGGAGCAGGTCAGTTAGGTCCTCTCATGTCCCAGGTGCTGGTGGAAGGGTGACTGGGTACCACATTCCTGGAGGGATTCTGAATGTGTATGCAGCATAGATAAGGCTCTGACCCGGCAATCTCACGTCTAGGAATTCATCCTAAGCAAGTGACTATGGAAGTGGGTAAAGATTTTCTACAAGGATTTTAATGTCATTCAATTATTTCTAAAAATTGAAAACTATTTAAGTAAATGTCCAACAATAGAGAAATGGAAAAATAACCTATGATGTATGTATCCATAAAGCAGCATGCTACATAGCCTTGAAGAATAAGTCTATGAAACTAATACAAAATAATATTGAATGTAAACTGATTAAAAATAAAATTGACAAAAAAGAAATAATATGGCAGAGGAATTTTGAATAACATGAAAAGTTGTTTCTATATAGCTAAATAAGATTGTAAAATGCTATGTGCTAAATGATTTCAATTTTATTATTTAAATATTTGATGTGGATGCACACATAACTTTAAATATACATGCATACATATAACTGGAAAACAAACATAAAATGTTAATAGTGTTTCTCTCTGGTGGGGTTATCGGTGAGTTTATTTTTCCCTTAAACATGTTTACTTTTATAATTGCCAAGTGTTGGGTTTTTTTTAGGTGGCATAAAAATGAAATTAAAATAATCAGGCAACAAGGTCAATGGCAACAGAATGGACAAAGATAAACACAGAAAAGAATCTAATGGATGTGAGACTTGAGTTAGAAAGCCTGCCCCAGAATCATAATGAGGGCAGAGAGCCGGGTTGCAGAGGATTGAGCGCAGGTAGAAACACATTTATAAACAACCCACTCCAGATGCTGGCTATGGAGGAAAGGGAGGGAAACATTAAAACACTTTTTTTTTTTTAAATGTCAACTCACAGAATATACCCTTTTTTTTAAAATCACCACCCAGTATACACATAGATAATGTATAGATTAAAAACAAACAAAAGTTTTATTTATAAAATAATATGTACTGTCAAATATGATAGAGTTACTATTAAATATGATTTTATTCATGATTGCAGGCATGTTTGTCTGTTTTTAAATTTATTCCAGGCTGGAGACAGGAGGACAATGCTACATGCACAGCCAAGGTGCTTGGTGCTGATGTCTATTTCTTCCCACTGTTTTTAGTTACGTTGGTTAAAAAATCTGGTTCACACAAATAAGTTGCTGTGGATGCTATTAATAACAATTAAATAGCAACTGAAATTGCAAATTTTAGCAAATTCTTTTTAAATCTTAATCTAAAATAGTGATACATTTATTATCACTCTTCAATGTATTTTAATAACAAAGCATTAGTAATTGGTTTTTACTTTGGGCATCAACTTTAATTCATATGTGGACTTAGGATTTTGAAAAACAAATGGATCTTTTATACAAATAATTTTATTTGGTATCCAAAATATCTTTTTTGGAAATGTTAGAAGTTTAAAACAGAATTGCAATAACATTAATATATTTACTTTTATTCAATTCAAAGTATCTTCATTAAAAATGTTCTCTTCTTCCCAGCCAGCGTGGCTCAGCGGTTGAGTGTCTACCTATGAACCTGGAGATCATGGTTTGATTCCTGGTCAGGGCAGGCAGCTGATGAATGAGTCACTCTCATCATTGATGTTTCTATCTCCCTCTCCCTCTCCCTCTCTTCCTGTCTTGCAAAATGTTGAGGACATATACTACCATGGTGATTACTTAAAATGTATTTTGTAACTATCAAATATAGTCAACATCTTGAAATATATTGTTACTTTTCCCCTACAGATCCAAATTCAGTTAATTAAAACTGAAAAAAACATATGCCAATTTTCTTGCTTAAATATTATCTCAAAAATGTTAGCTAAATGAGATTTCTTTTTTTTTTAAAGTCATTTTTTTATATATATATATTTTATTGATTTTTCACAGAGAGAAAGGGAGAGAGATAGAGAGTTAGAAACATTGATGAGAGAGAAACATCGATCAGCTGCCTCCTGCACATCTCCCACTGGGGATGTGCCCGCAACCCAGGTACATGCCCTTGACCGGAATCGAACCCGGAACCCTTCAGTCCGCAGGCCGACACTCTATCCACTGAGCCAAACCGGTTTCGGCTGAGATTTCTTTTAAACAGAAAAAAATGTGACTCCCATTCTTTAGTTCATAAAGCTTAATTAATATTTCCTCATAATAATCAATAACTTCAGTATGATATAGAATTCATGTATTAGATAATGGAAAGGCTAAGCTACTTTGACAAAGACACAAGGATATAGTACTATATAGAACACAGACTTATTTCTCACTTAAATTAATTCCTGAGTCAGTGGTCCATGTTGGTACAGCAGTTCCAGGAGATCACACCCCTTAGGGATTTGTTCCCATTTGTGTAATCAAAGGTGGGTCCTAGACAGGCTATGTTGTATTTCATAAGAAGAGGAAGAGAGTAGATGAGCCCAGGCCTCAGATGTAGAAGTCACACAAATCCTTCCCTTCTCCTGCTGGTGAAGACAGTTCCAGAGACACACCCTGTGCAGTAGAGTCCATCTGGGTGGGGACCACCTATCTCAGCCTCAGCTCCAATTTCTGAACAAAGCATATCAAAAAGTAAAAATTTCTCTTAATGAAATTAAACAACTATCACTACTTTTGTTTTCAAGTTCAAGAAATTAGGTAGAATTCTTAGGATGCCAAATCTTTAAATGTATGAAAAGTGATTCCAAATAGTAATGTAAGTGGTAGTTTCTAGTAATGTTTTAAATTACTCTATATTTCCTGGCCTTACTTCTAAATCACTTACAATTCCATTACAATTTACCGGTTTATGTTTTTCAAATAATGTATTTTTTCCAATTCTATCAGGTTACTGAAACCTGTGATATGTTAGGTTAAATTTAAACAACACAATAAATGCCTTATAAAAGTTATCTTGTCACATATCTTTGGCATAAATTAAAGGGTTAGTAATTTATGAGTAAATACTATAAATGTTAGTGCTCTCATTAAGTATAATCATAAACCTGTGTCTGTTCATTTCTGCCTAATTCTCTTTTGTATCTTCTGCAGAACTAAAATTTGTTAAGAGAATGTGTTATCACTTAAAAGCATGGTTTCACATTTCTCAGCTGATCTATCATCAAGAATCATATTCACTATACCCATGTCTGCAGACAATAATTTTTTTCAGCAACTATGTGAGTAATTTTGTCTTTTGATATACATATGCAACTAAATATATAGTAATAGTTTCTCATTAACCTAACGAAATAGTGTTGATTAATTTATGGGTGTTTTTTTTCTTTCTTTGAAAATATTTGAGGCCTTACCAATAAGCTTGACTTGCTGTATATACAAGGTGCTTTTTAGGGGATAAGATTTTAAGCTTTCACTTGCAAGACAATCATTGCAAATAATACATTTCATGGCTTTGAGCATTTGAAAAGCTATAATTAATCTTTATTTAAAAGGCTTGCATTTTATTGTTTTTGGAAAATAGTTCAAATTTATAAATTTATTGGTTAGAAGAAACATTTTTTTCTCAATGTTGTCATTGTTATGGATCTAGCAACCAGAACATGCCTCTGTTTTTCACATCAGCATTATTTCTTCTAATAATTTAATGAGTTATTTTAAGGGCAATTTGTAGAAGTTTTATTAAAATGTACAATTATTGCAAAGTCAAAAATGCCTAACAGTTATGCCTAATCCAGAAGCACATTGAAAGTTATTAACTTATAACCAAAACTTGATGGGAAATCTTGCTGCCTTTGCCAACAGTGGATAAAATTCTTCTAAACTTCACTTCATGGTTAACTGTTCGTCATGTTGGCATAAATTAAACTGTAAAACATTAGCTCTCCTGATACAATTATGATCAAATCCAGAAAATCAAATGAGAAACCAGTGAAGAGAAGAGTGAATGGCTGGCTGGCTGGCTCCCAGCCAATGTATAGTCATTACATCATCTCCACCAGCTGCCACTCAACTCAGTTGTCCACAGTATTTGCTGCAATGGAGACAGCTCGAACTTACAATATGTGCATTGCATTCTGATATCCTAAGTTCCACACTACTTTATTTCCAAAAAGAGTTTTCACAACACTCTGAAGGGTAGAAAGTGAAATTTGATAAACACTAGGCCAGCGGCAGATTTGAGATTAAAAAGCCTGTTGGTAGGAAGTATGTTTATGTGAAAGAAATGAGACATAAAGGCAGAGGTTGAAGAGGCAGGAGGCAGCCAGACTAGTGAGTGAAACAAGTATCCTAAGGAGATGGGAAAGATGGTATTTAGGTAGAGTCAATAGCCCAGTTAGGGGATGAAGGCCATTCTACAGACAAGGAGGGGAAGATAGAAGGCTGAGTTTTGATAGTGTTCAGTTTGTTGATGTGGAAGAGGAATTTGTGGGAGTTATATCTGCTGGCTTCTGTTTTCCTTGTGGAACAGGAAGACACTTGTTGAGTGTAAAAGGAGAAGAGACTAGATAGAGGACTAAAACTTTGGAAATGGGAAAGAGAGGCAACTAAGGATACACAGAAGACATCCTTGAAGTGTTGAGGGTCCAAGCAGTTCCCTGTTTATGAACATTAAGGAAGCAGTAACAATTCCGCAAAAATCGCCAAATCTGATTTTTGGGAAAGATATACCATGACCTATTGATAATAACTGTGTGGTTTGTCTAGGACAGTGGTTCTCAACCTGTGGGTCGCGACCCCTTTGGCGGTCGAACGACCCTTTCACAGGGGTCGCCTAAGACCATCCTGCATATCAGATATTTACATTATGATTCATAACAGTAGTAACATTACAGTTATGAAGTAGCAACGAAAATAATTTTATGGTTGGGTCACAACATGAGGAACTGTATTTAAAGGGCCAGAAGGTTGAGAACCACTGGTCTAGGACATTTCCTGTTGAACTAGAATACCATTTGGAAAATAACATTTATATCCCCCTCCCTTACTATAGAAACATATTCTATAGGCATGGAGCCTAGAAAGTTGTGATCTTAATAAGCACCCAGGTGATGATAATTATTACCAAAGTATATGGTTACTATAGAGTCTAGTATATAGTATTTGACTTATCAGGGCAATGATTTTTCCAAAAGCAAGGGACCTATTCTCTTTAAAACAGGAACAGTGCAAATATCATGAAACTATGGCTTTAATTAGAGCTTAAATTCATTGTCCACAGTTAGATTTATCCTACTACAGCAGGATTTATTTTATTATGAATATATATATATATCTTCACATCTTGTTCTCTTTTTTCCTAACAATTCCTTTCGTTTCAAACCACAGTGTGAATACAGCTGAAACTATTTATCTCTGCGTGGTCACCCCTACCATAAGCATCATCCCTTAAATAATTTACTTTCTGTTGTGCCATAATGCTGCAGATGCTATGAAATTTTCAATGTAGTTATAGCCCAGCATCATGTTAGCTTCAGGAAACCTTTAGACCAGGAAACAAATTGTTCTGTCATGTATAACCAGTTCACTTCATAATTTGTGCCTGAATCATGAATAATCATGAATAATAATGTCTTCTTAGCAGCACTTTTTAATGAAAGAAACAGATACAGAGATTTTAAATCATTTTTATGTTATACGTTTGTGAGTTCTTCTCCTGACATTTATAATTAGTGGGCAGAGCAGATGGCAGAGCTAAGTATCAGGTAATGTAATCATAAAACACCCCCCCTCCCCAAGAAACCCCAGAAATGTTCTATATTGGAGACTTATCACATTTACTGAAGGATTTTTTACCCCACTGGAATACATTGCAAGAAATTATGACATTAGATAAAAAGATATTTCTATATCAGGAAGTTCAAGAGATTAAGATGCTACTGAAATTTAAGTTAAAGGAATTCATAAATTTTTCAGAATACATTATAGTAGAATTATTACTATAATTTGAGACAGTCAGGCTTTGCAATAAAGTGAAATTCATTACAAAGCCAAAATATTTTTCAAACCTCTGACATATTCAGATAGAATTATCATGCCAAGACAAATAATTATAAGATTTAAATATTGCTTGAAGGAATGCTTGGCATTTTATGCTAATAAGACTTAACTTCAGAGGATTGTTTTTCTCTGTGAAACTGTTAAGTTTTATAATTTCCTTCCAAGCTCTCAAGGTGTATACGTGTGACAAAATTTCTGTAAGAAGTGAGGTAAGAGGAACTTACTGAAAATACTTACTCAAATGTTCCTTTTACTCGTTCATTTATCCCTCCAGCAAATATGCATTGAGTCTTTGTGCCCAGCCATGGGCTAATTTCTGGGTGTGCCGCGGGATGACACAGACAAGGTCTTTCTGCCTTGGGACTATCTTCTACTGGGGGAGCTAGTCAACAGCAATGAGTCGGTAAACAAGGACATTGCAGACCGCACAGGAGAGGGTTAGCTCAGCAGGCCCAGGTGGTTCAAACCCTGCATATCCCAAAGAAAGGCCTGTCTTCAGGAGAACTGGTAAAACCCTGGACACCACGGCTGGGTGCACTTCCTGTTGGCCACACTTCCAATGTGTTGTCACACACTGGTGCTGGGAGAACTGAGGGCACCTCTGTGTGAGTCCACGGGAGGGGCACCTGGAGGCATGCACCTGGTGTCTCCGGGGCTTCACCCATGCACCTTTCCCCTTGGTTGGTTTTAAACTGTGTCCGTTCACTATAGCAAACCACAGCCATAACGGTAACTACTACTTAAGCTCTGGGGTTCCTTCTAGTACATCATTGAGTCTGAGTGTGGTCTTAGGGACCCTCAACCAAAGACCATGTTAGATGAAATAAAGAGGGTGATGTGTTAGAGTAACTGCGTGGGGGTTGCCTGGTTAAGGTGGGGAAAACAATGATGCCTGAATGATAAGCTTGTGCTGAGCTTTGAGGAGCTTAAGGACATGTGTTCCTGGCAGAGGGAGCAGTAACTGCAAAACCTTTGGCACAGGGAAGCGCTTGGTGCGTTGCAGGGACAGTAGGGAGGCCAGGAGGGGCCTGGTGAGGAAGGTGATGTGGCACCAGGATTAGCAAGGACCAGATCATGAGAAGCTTTGGGGCCTCAGAAAGAAGCTTGGATTTTATCATAAACAAATAAGTCTTGTAACTGGGTAAGGTTACACCCAGTTCTGTTTCTGTTTTTACTACATTCATAAACTGGAGGCATGTGAGGTCAGTTTTATGAAGGGGCTCATAGTCAGGTTGCAAAGACACACAAATCTTACAAGAAACAACCAGCAAATAACACTGGATACAGATTCAAAGAAGGGAGAGGTTACTTCTGCACACTTCCTGCTCTGGGTACCAGTCACCCTAAGTTCAGCACTGTGCAGAGTCTTAATTTTAATTTGTTAAGGAATACAGATGCCCATATATATGTCCCATATCATTCAAAATGAGCTAGAAATCAAGTCGAGGTGATATCATATCTTTTCATTTATCAGACTGACAAAAATGACATTTGTAAACTGCAGTCTTGGCCAGCATTTGTTAGAACCCCTACACACTTTTAGTGCAAATGAAGATGAGTGCTACCTTTTTGGAGGGACATTTCTTAATATTCATCCATTCGTGTATCATATTTGATCCATTATTTTTATTGCTGGAGATATATCTCAAGGAAATACTTGCAGAAATATACATGAGGATGTTTGTTGTGGCATTGCCTATAACAGTGAAAAGCTGGTAAAACCTAAATATCCACTTGTAGGAGAATGGTTGACCTAATTATGGTTACCCTATATCTTGGAATCCTTATCTGTAATGACAAGAGCATGAGGTAGAACTGTGTTTACAAGAATAAAAGAAAAAATAAGTCATGAAAGCAAAGCTTTATGTCCCAGATCACACCATTTGTGTGTTGCATACTTGTATGTGCTTAAATAATCTTTGGAGAAAACATATGACCTGTATTTCTCTTAAATGAATTAAGACATTCATTGTAGAAAATATACATAAATTAAAAAGTGTCAAAATCATCTGTGATTTACTACCCTTATATAACCATTGCTAACATATATTCTATATCATTCTAGTCCTTTCTCAGGCACATAAAGATGTTGCTTTAAATTTTAAACAAAATTCAGAAGACTTCCCCAGACCGAATTAAAAGGTACAATTAAGTGCTGATGGCAGAACAGACTTCCTGAAACAAGGGAAGGGGAAGGTAGGGAAGGCTGTCCCCCATCGGCTTGAGCTGAGAAGAGGATGGAAAGAGGCATGCGGGGCACCAGCAGGCATGCGGGCCATCAGCCTCTCGGATAGTGTTTCCTTTGCGTGCATTGGGGCTCCGCAGGGCGTGTTCCACCATGTGCACAGGAGGCAAAGGTGTTCAGATGTCAGTTCTACTGGAGACACCGGTCAGTCTGCTTCAAAGCTTTGCAGTATCTGGCTTTCAAGGGTCCCACACTAGCCAGCCTTTGACTGTGCCCTCCCCACGGGACCTGGAATCCACAAGGCCAAGGGGACATGATCATCCAGTGCCCTCTGGACCATGTTCTGGGTACCCACATCCCACAAGTTCCTGCTCATCAGCCCAAGTCCATCTTCCCAAGATCCAAATGCACTTCCAGGCCTATGTGGTTGCCAAGGGGCCTCAGTCTGCAGAGGATTTGACCAGAGCTTGGCATGTGAGTGGTGTGTCCATTGGGGTACATGAGGTCCAGGCAGTACAGGAAGGAGCCAGAGGTGGGAAAAGAATGAGGATGGGTTGGAAGTCAACTTTCCCTGTTTTCTCAATTCCTACCTGCCCTTCCAGATTGTTAGAAAGGTCTACTTGTCAAGACAGGAGGACAGAACATATTTCATTTCACAGTTTGTTGCCTTGATTTATAACTTTTAAATAATTAGACATATGGTATTTGTCTTCCATTCCTATTCTCACCCCAGGGTCTCCAAATATTCAGGGATAGATCTATTGGATATCATGTTTATTTTTCCATCAATAAAAACTTTATTGTATATTGGTTGTATATAAACATATCAGGATAAAAAGGGAAACTTATGAAATTACCTAGAAAAGCCTCAGGAATCATCTCCAACATGTTTGCCCTGATTTTCTTCATATCTCAGGGGAAGTGCCTCTCAGGCTCAGATTATCAAGGTAATTGGTTTCACTTTACACTCCATTTGTATAGCTCTCATCAGCTAGTCTAACTCCTGCATCTTACAGATTGAAGAAATGAATTCCAGAGAGATCTGGAGTCTTTTCCAAAGTCATAGATTTAGTTGCAAAATCAAGCCTGAAACACCAGCTATTTCCTAATCTGATTCTCTTACCATAATGTTGTTTCAGAGATAAATAAAAAAAAGCTGAGATCTGGGCTACTGCTCCAAGACTTTGGGACAGCACTAAATGTGATGCATAGTCTGCATTTAAGGGGGACAGTGTCATCTAGACCCTTAGGAGGAGAACTGTAAATTCACTCTACCATTACTGACCAGGCACATTGAGAGATCCTCTCTTTCCCCCCACCCCCACCCCCACTTTCTCCTCTTGGCTTATCACTGTTCTCTAGTCTCTCTTCCCTTTGTTTACAGTTCTCACCTATCCAGAGAGATGCCCTGGAATGTCAGTGCTAAGCAGGTTCCTCAGAAGACCTCTGGCCTGAACCCATTCTCCTCATGCACCATGGAGTAGCTGATGTTCAGGTCCCAGAACATCCTAAATACTCTGGCTGAGAAAGCCAATAGCCAGCGTGCTAGAAACCCACCTGGGCTATATCCCAGATAACATAAGGGGCCCAATGCTTTGGCCCTGGTGTTTGCAAGACACAATATGGTCTAAGCCCTGGTATTTCCTTTACCCCGTGTTATTTATATGATGCTCTGATTAGTAAAGGACTCTATAACCATGCCATCAAGGCAACGAATAGCATACGTCCTGTGCTGTGTCGTAGGTTTTTAGACATTCTAAAAAAATAGAAATTGTGATCAGCACATTTCAGCCTTTTAAAAAAGCATGATTTCAAGAGGCAGTGGTGCTTAATTTTAAAGCTCACCTGGGCAAGTTTTAACAACCTGAGGTCTCTAGAAGAAAGGTTAAGTGTCTCTATTTCTTCCTTCCAAAGGCCATGGGGCTGCTTATTAAAACTCCCCGCCTTGTCCTAAAAACCTTCAAACATCACATATCTAAGTTTTGTGTTATAAACACACCCATGTGACTCTGTATTACCTTTACCGTGTATTATCTCTTTAGAGGGATTGTTTCTGTCCCCAAACTGTGGACCACTCCCTGTCCCTACACGCAGTTCATGCAGTTCTGTCTGTGGTCAATTCTAAGCTTCATCAGGCGAGGATTCATGTCTCCTTTGCTCATTTTAATCCTAATAATCAGATGTCAACATATAAATATCTACTGAATGAATACACTGTTTCTCACTCTGGGATAAGCTTTTTTTTACATAAAATAAATTTATCTAGAACCTGTTCTTTCTTTCAGATGTGCTCTGGCCCCGCCTTCTTTGTGGACTGTTTTCTGAATTCTAAAGTGGCCCCCCTTATCCCCTTTGTGTGGGATGGAACCTGTAGATGTGAGGAGCTGTCACTCCTGTGATCATGTTACATTACTGGCACAGTGGAGACCATCTGGGTGGGTGCAACCTAAGTACACAACCCCATTAAAAGCAGAGAGTTTTCTCCATCTGGAAGCAGAAGAGGAAGTCAGAGAGATGCAGAGGGTGAGCAGTGGTTGAGCACCCACCTATGAACCAGGAGGTCATGGTTCGATTTCTGGTCAAGGGCACATGCCAGGGGTGCAGGCTCAATCCCCAGTAGGGGGCATGCAGAAAGCAGTCCATTGATGATTCTCTCTCATCACTCATGTTTCTATCTCTCTCTCCCTCTCCTGTACTCTCTGAAATCAATAAAAAATCTCTATATATAAAAACCTAGCCGTAACTGGATAGAGCGTCGGCCTGCGGACTGAAAGGTCCCAGGTTCGATTCCGGTCAAGGGCATGTACCTTGGTTGCGGGCACATCCCCAGTAGGAGGTGTGCAGGAGGCGGCTGATCGATGTTTCTCTCTCATTGATGTTTCTGTTCCCTCTCCCTTCCTCTCTGTAAAAAATCAATAAAATATATATTTAAAAAAAAAACAAAACCAAACGACTGAACGACCGAATGACCAGTCGACCAATTGCTATGATGCGCACTGACCACCAGGGGGCAGATGCTCAATGCAGGAGCTGCTCCCTGTTGGTCAGTATGCTCTCACAGCCAACCTCCCGTGGCCCCTCCCCATGGCCAGCTGGCCAACCTCCAGCAGCCCCAGATCGACCCTGATTGCCTGCCAGGCCAAGAGACCCCACCCATGCATGAATTTGTGCACCGAGCCTCTAGTATAAATTATAAAAAAGAGAGAGAGAGACATGGAGACTGGCTGATGAAGTCAATGCTGGAGGAACACAGATAATTCTGTATTCTCTGGAGGTGTTTAAGGTCAGTTTGGAAGAAAACATGGAGACCGGTGGAGAGGCAGGAGACAGGAGACAAGACCAAATGGTCTTAGAGAGGTCATTATGGGCTAGGTTGGGTGGCCTCATATAGCATTTCAGATGTAAGCAGGAAAGAACGTACCGACAGTCTCTTTAATTCATTGACAAAGCAAATTTCTGTATTTTTAAGATAACCTTGTTCAACCTGGACCTGTGTTCCCTCATCCCCTTCCCTATCTTGTGGGTTTATTTTTAAACAGTGTATTGTAAGGGCATATATTTACACATTCAGGTCTCAGCTGAATATTTATTGGAAAATTTCCAGGCTGAGATCACCTTCGAATATACAACCTGAATTTCAGTGATCATCCCAGGAGAACAAAAATCACCTTTATGGTGGAATAGAGCGCGAGAGGGCGAGCCCCCTCTGGAACTGGTTTGCAGAGATAAGCAGTCTTAAAATATATACTGACAACTGGGTTGGCTCTACACATTTGAAATGGACTCCAATAAATTTAAGAATGTGCACATTAAAACTGAGTTTTAGGAGCTCATAGTACAGACTCTGCAGCTGAAATCTCCGGGTTTGAGGCCCAGCTCTGCCACTTACAAGCTGCGTTATCTATGAAAAGTCATTTAGCTTTTCTGTGCCTCAGTTTCCTCATCAGTAATAGAGAAGCAATAGTTGTACATTGCTCATGATACTGTGAGGATAAGAGAAATTAGTGTGCGTTTAAAATAGGGACTGGCACTTAGTAAGTGCTAAATAAGGGTTAAGCTGCTATTCTTATTACCTGCATGGAGGTCAGGTGCTGAGGCCTTAGACCAGCGGTTCTCAACCTGTGGGTCATGACTCCTTTGGGGGTCGAACGACCCTTTCACAGGGGTTGCCTAAGACCATCGGAAAACACATATATAATTACATATTGTTTTTGTGATTAATCACTATGCTTTAATTATGTTCAATTTGTAACAATGAAAATACATCCTGCATATCAGATATTTACATTATGATTCATAGCAGTAGCAAAATTACAGTTATGAAGTAGCAAGGAAAATAATTTTATGGTTGGGGGTCACCACAACATGAGGAACTGTATTAAAGGGTCGCAGCATTAGGAAGGTTGAGAACCACTGCCTTAGACCAAGAAGGTTGGTCTGGGCTCTAGTCCTAGCTCTAACACCAACTTATAGAGTGACTTTAACAAGCAACTTAAACTATCTGTGTCAGAGAAAAATGCCTAAAAAGGCTGTCAAAATATTAGCAGCAGTTTTCTCTGGTAAAAAAAGGAAAGTGATCATCTATGGGTGACTCTTATTCTTCTTTATACCTTCTGTCTTCTTCAAATTTTAAAAAATGAGTATATAATACATTTATAATGATAATAGAATAAAATGGTATTATTTATTTATATACTTAAATAAATAACCTTTAGTTCTAGATATCTAAAAACTTACTTTTAAAACTTGAAGATTGCCCTAGCTGGTTTGGCTCAGTGGATAGAGCTTCAGCCTGCAGACTGAAGGGTCCTAGGTTTGATTTCGGTCAAGGGCACATGCCCAGGTTGTGAGCTTGGTTCCCAGTGGGGGGGTGTTACAGGAGGCAGCCAATAAATGATTTTCTCTCATCATTGATATTTCTATCTCTCTCTCCCTCTCCTTCCTCTCTGAAATAAAGATATATGTATATATATATATATACTCAAGATTAATTATTGATATTGAGGTTTTCATAATTAATTTTATACAAAGAAAATGATTGCTATTGGAGTTTTTAGGATGACAAAAATTATATGCCAAGCATTATAGAAGCATTTTTAAAAAGTAACTATTTTTTAAGAATAATTTCAAATTTACAGAAAACTTGTGGTGTAGAGTTCCTATACTGTACCCAGTTTCCCATATTACTAACAGATTACATTAATATGGTACATTTTCCACAGTTAATCAACCAATATGAACTCAGTACTATCAACTAAAGTATAAAGGCATTTTTAAAGTTATACTATGTGGCTATGGGTTTTTCTATGAGTATTTGGTCAACTTTAATCTTGCAAATGCTATGCTGAAAAACAACCTTCTGCTGCCATCTACTGTTCTAAATAAATTTATATTTCTCAATTTTGATTTTCCTACAGTTCATTTTTTAATCACCTCAACAAATCGGTGAATACGCTGAAGTTCAGAGAGGACACGTTTCACAGGAGAAGAGCTATTGGCATAGCCATTCATTCATTCATTCATTCATTCATATATTTAGCAAATAATTACTTAACACTGCATTGGAAAAGGTCCTGGGGATGCAAAGATGAATAAAACATGGTAACTTTCTTCAAGGATCTTCATGGTCTAACAGAGACATAAAAAATATTATTATATAACAAAGTGATTGCTACATACGCTTCAAGGGTTCTGGGAGCATAGAAAAAAGAGCACATCGTTACCTTAGACTGGAGGTGGGACTATAGGGAACATGCCAAGATTCAGGGAAGTTTCCTTGGGAGACATGGGTATGAAGCTGATCTTAAAAGATCAGTAGGAAGTAACTAGGTGAACATGACAGGGACTGGAAATAAAGGATTCCAGAAATAACTTCAAGAATAAAGGCAAAATGGGTAGCATGTAAGAGAGAGAGAGAGAGAGAGAGAGAGAGAGAGAGAGAGAGAGAGACTGGAAAGTGTAAGGTAAGCAGAGGTGACAGATGAGACTGGAGAGGCTACCAGGGGCCAGACCATGGAGGGATTTGTGTGTCACTTTTAAGAATTTCATTCCTGATGATAGCAGTGATGGAGAATCGTGAGGTGCACAGAGGGGAGTGTCAGGGTCAGATGTACACTTAGCTGGATCATTTCAGTAGTCTCAGGGAAGATGGACTTGGGAGAGGGGGCTGTTCACAGCTGTAGACAAGGAGGGCAGTTGAGAAGCAGGTGGGCAGTTAAGGCAAGGATGGCGCAGAGAGTCTGCATTGTATAAACATTTGAGAAATAGGGTAGATGGCAATTTTTTCAACCACTGCATGCAAACTGGATATAAGAGAAAGAGTCAAAGATAATCTTAGGTTCAATTTTGGTGAATAAGTTTCTGAAGGTGCTATAGAGCCTTCAGGAAGAAGATAAAAAATGGTTTAGGAGAAGAGAGCGCAATTTCAACTCTGTACTGGCTGAGATTAGAGTGCTTGAGGGAGAATCCAGGTGGTGCCATCTTGCAGGAAGTTGAATATAAAAGTTGGAAACATAGAGGAAAAGTGTGAGCTAAAGACACATATCTGCAGGTCATGAGTATGTAAGCAGGACCTGAAATCATGAAAGTGGATGGTGTAACACAAGGAAAATGTATAGAATGAACAGAAGAGTCGTAAAAGGATAGAAACCCAGAGAATATAATATTGGTGAGCCGAGGAGGTGGAGGGGGGGAGGGAGGAGGAAGACTAGCACATTCAGGAGAAAGGGAAGGGATTGGTGGAGAAAAAGAAAAGAAAGGAAGGAAGGAAAGGAAGGAAGGAAGGAAGGAAGGAAGGAATGGAGGAAGAGGAGGTAGGGAAGGAGGGAGGGAAGAGAAAGAAAAAGAAAGAGAAAGGAAGGAAGAAAGAAACCAGAGACAACCCCTGACAGTTGGTAGTTGGCCTGGCAACCAATAGCTAGGCCATGATGATCCAATGTTGAGCATAAATAATTTCACAGAATATGAACACCACACAAGATCACTCTTTAATTGTGATAGAACTAGACAAAAACAAGACCACTCTCTCCAAAATCACCTAACATCAGCCTAAATCTTATTACTAGGCCTCCCTAACGCCCTCTCACTGAGACATCCCCAGAGTGCCTCATGGTTTTCAGTTTCCTTTGCTGCAGGTGTGTTCCTGGTGGTCTTTGGGCACTGGGCTTTAGCATCTTTATAGAAGCCAAGAAGGTAGAAAGTTAAATGTAGCGAGACATCAAAGTTCCTGGTACAACAAAGAGGCCAATGATACCCATTGAGTTTGGCAAATAGGAGCTTATTGGTGACCTTTGAAAAACAGAACAGTTTTGTAGGATATGGGGGTAGATGCAGTAGTGCTCATACTGGCTTGAGACAGATGATTACACATATTTCTTCCTACTTCTGTATCCAGTAACATCAAGTTGGTAGCTGGAAATCAGCCATTGGGGAGTATTTACACTATGGAAATTGGCAATGGCTATAAACCAAGGATTTTTTTCCCCTTCAGAAAGTTGGTTGTTAAGCTTTTTACCATCACTCATGAGTAAAAGAGAGATTACAGTCAGATGAGGGAGGAATAAGGGGTGAGAAAGTAGAGATAATTAAAT